AGGATGATAATGACAATTATGCTTCAATTTGCACTGGTGCTCAAGCCATCCCACATGTTTATGTTTAATGACCTCTTACCAATGGTTCTACGTAGCTCATTCCAGATTACAAGCACTCCATTTCCAAATAGACAAGTACTTTTGATTACACATTGAAGCTAATAATATGGTTCCTCAGCTCCGTTTAGAGGCTATGCGATGGTTTGTAATCATATTAGTTTTATTCCAAAATGAAAGAAATATTTGAGAGGGTAAATAAATGGATCTAATTTAAACCTATTATGTACGAACCTTAATGAATAATTCTCACCCTGTGCAAGAGTTTTAAAGTTTCATTCCAATTAATGGCCATCAGCAGTAAATCATTATTATTAATTTTCTTTCAAATATTGGATGCCAAACTTATGAAATCCCTTGCATATGGCGCTTTAGTCATATAGTCGTCGATTTTATTGAGCAGCATCCCTCACGCAGGGGAGGAAGCCACGGTTGCTTGGTGAATAATGGCTCATAATATACTGCTGCAAGGATCCAACGGTTACCTCAACATTCAAACGATCGACATAAGCCCCTGATATCCAACCACCAACATGAAGAGCTTCTTCTTCGCCTTCAACTACCTAGACAAATGAGAATTAAGAATTCTGAATTATAACCTAAACTCCAATCAATATTCAGGATGTATAGCACTATCATAATGATATAGCCCTTTGTGCCGAGGAACCGAAGATTCATCACGACTCAGCAACTTTTAAGTTTGCCGGTCACTGCATTACAGGCAACGATGACAAAATCACCAAACGGTCCTCTGATCTTTTTCCTTTTCTCCCTCTGTAGAATATTCGACGCCAGCAGGAGCATAAATGGGAAACAAAAATAATGGATACAAACCAGATTGATTAAAGAGCCTCTTACCACAATGAGCTTTTTAAGGTTACTGAGCTCCAACAACTCAAGAACATAAGATAGAACTGGTCGGTTCGCCACAGGAAGTAAAGGTTTCGGAACCTCCTGCACTCGGGGGCCAAAAAAAAAAAAAAAAGCCGCCGTGGGATAAGAACTTCCAAAAGATATCCACTAAAGCCACTTCATGCTAGGAAAAGTAGGATCAGGAAGAAGAATACCAATTCAGGAATTGGATTTTGTTCAGTCAAAGAACTGAATCATTTCCAGAATATTAGCGACTAAGAAAATCTTAGGAAGCATCGAAAAGCGGGAAAAAAAACTAATAAAGAGAGTACCTTGGAGACGAGAGGAAGGAGTTTGTTGGAGGTACCACCAGCGAGAACAACCACTTGGAAGTCCATGACGAGAAGGAGGGTTTTCAGAGGGGTTTCTCAACTCAGAAACTGAAAAGAGGACCAAACAAAATGAACAAAACTTCAGTCGCGTTCAAAGTGACTTGAGTTTAGCAGCACTGATTTCACGATCATGGTAGATACTATAAACCACTTCCCCTCACTCTTCTTTTTTCACCTTTTTACCTCCTCTTCACACCTTGATCGCTGTAAGGCAACACGATCTAGGGCTTGTTTGTTTGGAATATCTTAAAATAACTTTTTAATCTTTAATCCTAATTTACAGAATTGGAGGTAAGCTTTTTTTTTTTTTGGCCACTGAATTCCAGATAAGTGTATAAGGGGTGTGCATAAGAACAAGCTCTCAATTGAAGGTAATAAAATTTATAAAAATTTATTTTTACAAAAAATAATACATATTTATTACAAATAGCTAATAATTAACTTAACAAACTTAAATAATTAATTTACAGATAACAAATAATTAGTTAAGAATAATAAATAAGTTAAAAATATATTTTTGTTTTTAAGTATGTCCCTATACTAAATAAGATAAAAGATAAAAGAAAATGTGTGTGAAAATATAATAAGAAAAAATATAACAAATAAAAGAGATTAAATAATTAAAAGAAAAATTAAAAAAACAAATTTAAATTGAAACTTAGAGCTTGTTTGGTTAAGCGGTGGGATCTCAAATAAGCCCGTTTAAATTCAAATAAGTGCTTATGAAGCATGGTTAGGGTGTTTGGATAATTTTTATAGAATCCCGATGAATCGTGATTTTAACCTCTCACCGCACTTTTAGGATAAGCAACAAAAGATAGCTTATGCGTTTGAAAAATCCCGATGAATTTTCAGTAACTAAATTTTCTCCAATCTACCCCTCACTCTAATGGTAATTACTTTAATTTTTTTTTAAAAAAACATACAATATGAAACTGTTTTTCTTTTAAATTTTATTTCTTAGTTATAATTTTGATTGAAGATTCAATTTCCTTATCTATGTTACTAAAATTGCTAATCAAATTTTTTTAATATTTTCGTTCATCTTTTATTTATATGGGGTCTTTTATTTAATATTTGTACTACACATAAATTTTGTAAGTGATTTTAAATAATAATAATTTTAAAATAAAAATAATATTTAAATATTCATGTCATTTATTAAATTATATTTAATAAAATTATTATTAAATATAATAATTATGAAAATGTAAACAATTTATTAACTTCATGTCCTTTTTAGTAATTATACACCCATAAGTGATTTTAATAAATAAAAACCAAACATAATCACAATTCTTAAAATCACTTATAAAAAAAATATCCAAACAGAAATCACGATTAACCAGTATCACTTATAGCCAGTATCACTTATAAAATTCACGATTATCTAAAATCACAGTTGTTCACCGCTAATCCAAACGGGCACTTACACATTTCTCTTTAAATTTAGAGCTAAGCGCAGCATTGGGTCGGAGAAAAAGAGGGAGCAAATGGGTGCGAGGTCGTATCGGGGGACCCGATTTATTGGCAAATTATCGCCAGTGACACAGGGTTAGTGGGCTACTTCATCCCTGTGCGCTGGGGTTCATCTATTTGACCCCTCTGCACTCCCTTTTCTCACCCCCTCCAACCCCCATGGCAACACAGTTGAAGCTTCCTCTCTGGTATATATCATTTTTCTCGGATTAAAACTGAGCAGCCCAAATTGTCATCGCCTCTGGACCCCCATCCCTCCCGCAATCTGCAGATTCAAATCTCATAAGCTCTTCTATGGCGCCCATTTGGGGAGTTGATGCTCGCCAACTCAAGCTGGCGTTGACACCGACGGAACAATTTGAGCAATACTGATTTTTCTTGATACCCACAAAAATCATCTCTTTGATATCTATGCCGTTCGGTCATATCGGAGGTGATGAATTTTATCTGCTGCAGTTTTTTATTTATTTATTCTTTTGACTGATGCTTTTGCTTCTCATTGTTGATGGTCGAAGTTTGATGATGCTTTGGATTTAATGTAGCTTGGAGCTTGCTCTTGTTTGATTACTTGTTTCTGAAATTGAGAAATGACGGTAAACAGCTCCCCCCCCCCCCGGGGCCGGGTGTTTAAAATTTGTCTCTCTACTTTAAAACTGGTAAAATTTGCTCGGTCGCACTTGCTCGATCTGAAGCTTTCAAGTTTTGCATGTGGTCTTAATCCAGTTCCCATGCTTTTGTATTGACTGGCTTTATTTCCTAAGTTATTACTATTGAAAAGAGTCCTTGGCTAGGAGCGCAGATACCATGTAAAAAATCATCCTGTTTTAAAGGGTATATTACAGTTGATACTCAATAGATTCCCTCTAAGTTAATGTCTCTCGTGTTTCAAAGCTCGCATTAAACCTTCTTTAGTTTGTTTGTCTTCTTTTTTGGAGGAAGGGATGGTCTGTTTAATTTTCGCCTAACATTGTCATGGTTTTGTTTTTTCCGGCGGAATTACTCATATGACTGTTAAAGCACCTTTGCTCATACCTTGAATGATATTAGTCTCTTGACGTCATTTTTGTGATTAATCGGATATTTGAGAATTGGAATTGTCTGCGTAATCATAGTATTAATCTTTGACCATTATGAAATTGTTAATATATGAAACTTTTTGGGTTTTTAACATTTATGTGATTGTTTTTATCAAAATTCGAAATTAAAAAAAATAAAGTAGTTTAGTGGTGACATAAGGGTGACACACTTTAAACCATATATATCAAATTGATTTTGAATCAAGTGTACATGAAACGTTTAATAATACCTCTGCATCGAGTAGGAATCCTAGGATCAATTTAGTGTCTAGCAACATTTACCAATGAGTTCTTTGGACCTTTGCCCTCATTTTGCTATCCCAAAAAAAAAAATTGCTAAGTAATTTTCTGGTCATGTTTTATTGCAGAAAAAATATTTATAGTCACATTGTTTCTTATATTCATTGATGAAACAATGTCAGACTCAAAACTTGGAAGTTGTCCAGCCTATACCATTGCTTCATGTATCTTTTTGATAGGCATCACTGCTAGCATCCTTTCAAGTAGACTCTACATGTGACATCATGAGCATCACCTATCTTTTTTGGTTCTGTGACCTCATAAGATGATGATATGATTGGCATTTGGCGGCAAACAATAATGAGGATGCTGTTACGCTATTATGTTCTGTGAAAATCCGACTTTTTTCACAACAACAAGCCTCTGCTATCTGTAGAAAGAGGATGCTATTGTGTATTTTTTGTTAGTTTGATTCCTAGTTGTAATGTATAAATGCATGCCTAATGGATTTTATCATGCATAGTAACAAGTAAGAAAAGTCTTGTTTGTTGCGAGAGGGATTTGTTATCTAAAATTTTGACTGTTGACAATAAGTTTATTTAGGCAGGCTTCACTGATTGTGTTTAAATTACAGGAATTGATGGGTAAAAGAGTTAGAAACAAGAGACAAGGTTCTACTAAGGGTAAGCGTGATGCTACCAATACCCCAAAAAAGTTGTCCAGTCGTACAACCCAACTGTTGAGTCAGTCAATGATGCAGTTTCACCTGTAAAAGAGATAAAATATTGTCCTCATCTCAAAAACAATGTTAATATAACTAAATTATCTGGAAAGATGGGTCTTCTGGATCCACAGGCATAAAGTGTGAAGATTGTAGGGAAAGTGCCGCAGATCGGAAGGGAAATAAAAAAAAAGGTAAACGTGGGAATAAGAAAGGCACTGCTTTAGTGGATTCAAAGTCTGAATCAAAAGCTATATGGATTTGTCTAGAGTGTGGTCAATATACATGCGGAGGTGTTGGGCTTCCAAAAACCCCTCAATGCCATGCAATCAAACACGCCAGACAAAGTCAGCACCCCTTGGTGGTCAATTCTGAGAAGCCCCAGCTGTGCTGGTGTTTTGTTTGCGATATGTTTGTCACTGCTGAGAAAACTGAGCAGAATGATGAAAAAAATCATGTTCTTTCTGATGTTATGACACTGTTGAGAGCACGACCATCAGACCAATCATCAGCAGATGTTGAGGATTTGTGGTTTGGGAATGGCAGCATCACTACTGAAATTAAATCAGGAACTTCTCTGGCAGGCGATTCATACGGGAAAGCAGGTTATGTAGTCAGAGGTATGACTAATCTTGGTAATACTTGCTTCTTTAATTCAGTCATGCAAAATCTCCTAGCTTTGAATAAGTTGCGAGATGACTTTCTAAAGCTAGATGCTCCTTCTGGGCCTTTGACTAGTTCCTTGAAAAAGTTATTTATTGAAACAAACCCAGACTCAGGATTGAAAAGCATTATAAATCCTAGATCATTTTTTGGTTGTGTATGCTCAAAGTCTCCCCAATTTCGAGGATATCAACAGCATGACAGTCATGAATTGCTATGTTGCTTACTAGATGGGCTGGGTTCTGAAGAACTAGCTGCAAGAAAACAGAAGGATGCTCCTGAGAAAGATGGAATCTTTTCCACTGTGACTACTCTAGTGGATGCTCTATTTGGGGGTCAATTATCAAGTACTGTATGTTGCATTGAATGCGGGCATTCCTCAGTTGTGCATGAACCTTTTCTGGATCTCTCACTGCCCGTTCCTTCTAAAAAATCTCCACCCAAGAAGGCCCAATTAGCATCTCGATCCAAGAAAGCAAAGTTCCCACACAAGAAAGGTGGGAAGACTCGGGTGAAAGTCAATAGAGATGCCAGTCCCTTGCCCGTTCAAAATTTGGCAACCCAACTATCAAGTGATGAATCATCCTGCCCTGTGAAATCTAGCATATCAGCTGGTGAAGAGGTGGCGGCTTGTTCTGGGGAATCTACAGTATTTGGTCCTGTGAATAAAAGCAGCCCTGCTGAATATGAGGCCTCAAGTTCACCCAATTTAATAACTGCTCAAGACTCTGGACATGCTCAAGTCCTTGAGAATGGTACAGGGAAAGCATCAACTTCGTCAGGTGATTTTACATGGTTGGATTATGTGGAAGCTGGAACCATGACAGATGAAAGTGGGTTCTTTTCCAAGAAGATGGATGTTGCTGTGATACAGGATGATGACAGCAAGGAGGAATCGTCAAAAGAATTCCCTGCACAGACTAGCTGTGAATCTAGTAGTCAGATTTATTTCCCTGATGAGATGCAAAACCTTAGGCTAGATTCTTCTTCAAGGAATGGGTGGGAAGATGAGGTTCCGTTACAAGTTCAAGATACAGAAGTGCTGTTGCTTCCATATAAAGAAGAAATTTCTTCTGCGGGGGAGATCACAGGGGGAGATGGTGAAGCATCCTCAACAGTTTTGGGCTGTGGACAAGAAGACCTGGGATTTGATGGCTTTGGGGGCTTATTTGATGAACCTGAAGTTGTTGCAGGCCCTGCTCCTAGACCTTCGAATAATGAAGTTGAAGCAGGTTTTAATGCTGGAAACAGCAGTGAGTCTGATCCAGATGAAGTAGATGATGCAGATTCTCCAGTCTCTGTAGATAGTTGCTTGGCTCATTTTATAAAACCTGAGCTTCTCTCAAATGAAAATGCGTGGCATTGTGAGAACTGTTCAAAAATTCTGCAACGTGAGAAAGTGGAAGCAAAAATGCAGAAAAGCAAGGTATTAAATGGAGAAGAGACTGTAAATGATGCTGACCCCCTGCATATAACTAATTCTTGTTCTGCCAAGGTCGGAGGTGTAAGTAATGGTAATGCTAAAAATGACAAAGTTAGAGACAGTTCGGTTTCAGATGTTAAACATTGCAGAGAGTTAGAAAATGGTCAAATGGATGAGTTGAGTACAGTTGATAATAAGGGGGAAGATGAGACGGTTAAGAAGAGAGATATACATGATGGTGAATCTTCAGGTTTTCGCAAAACTTGCAATGAAGAAATGGGTATAGCTGCTGATTCTTGTAGCATACAGCATGCAACTGGAGATATACAGGAAAGAAATTCCCAGCTATTGAATCATGAAAACCGGGGCTCGGGAGTCACTAAAGATGAAGAGGTGGACACCAAAAGTATGAAAGTGAAGAGGAATGCAACCAAGAGGGTTCTTATTTATAAAGCACCGCCTGTTCTAACTATTCATTTGAAGAGGTTCAGCCAAGACATTCGAGGCCGCCTAAGTAAACTAAGTGGCCATGTCAGTTTTAAAGAAACAATTGATCTCAGACCATATATGGATCCAAGGTACTTATCTGAACTATCCTAGATTTTGTTTGAACTCTGAACTTTATACTTTTACTATGGGCATAATGAGCTGCATGGCTTCTTTTGTTTTGCTTGTTCTTGATATAATCTGATCCAATCTAGTGTAATCATTGCAAGTATTAAGTTTGCTCGGATCATGAGATAATTTTGGAAATAATCTATTTTCCTTGTAAAATTATTGTTATCTTGGACAAAAGAAGAAACTTTATTGTAGAGAATAATGGAAAAGTACAATGAAGGATGAGACATCCTCGCAAAGAGAAGCTAAAACAAAACGGAGAATTTTAAAGTGCGACAAAGTTGTCCATTCTCTCTTCATGTTGGATAAGAGATTGACCTGCTCAGTTCTACTTTGACTGCCTGTAGTTTTGCGATATTGGGAACGTTGTTATTGATTATTTTTCTAGTTGTTTACGTATGATTGAATTTTCTTTATTTCCTATTGGGGGGGTGGTTTGTTAATTTCTTGTGCAAAGTTCAAGTTGTGGGGCGTGCATCTGTTGGGCAGCCGTGATTAGGTTCTGTAGGGTTCGAAAGCGAGGCTTGCATTTGGTTGTGCATTATTGTCATGGAACCAGATTAGTGAATACCTTGCCATGAAAATGTGATGGTAGAACATATGTAATTTACATGTCAAGGTGCCTTATGAAGTATACATTTGGTTAAGCTCCACACCCCGAGAACTGTAATCAGGTTAATGATTGAAAGCAACCATTTCTTTTGTTGGCTGAAAAAACAGGTGCATGAGTGAAGAGAATCATGAATACCGGTTGGTGGGCGTGGTGGAGCACTCGGGAACAATTAGAGGGGGTCACTACGTTGCCTATGTACGAGGGGGTCAGGGGAACAAAGAGGCCGATGAAATGAGTGAGAATTGCACATGGTATCATGCAAGTGATGCCTATGTGCGTCAAGTTTCCCTTAAAGAAGTTCTTGCCTGTGAGGCTTACATCTTATTCTATGAAAGAAGCTGAGTGTATCATTTACTTTTTTGAGTTGAGAAGCCAATTTACATACATAGATACATGCATATATGCATTTGTGATGCCCATTTTTTTTGAACATATAATGAGAGATCCCCATTGTACAATGCGACTTTATACACTATCAAATATCAAGTTTTCCCTCCTCCTCTGGTGCCCAGCTTCAGAAATTATGCATCCTCTTTTGTTCCATGTTGCAACTTTAGGGTGGTGATTTTTTATTTTTTGGGGGGCAAGTGGATGGTGATATTGTTACGTTGCGGACAACGAAACTTCATTCTTCTGTACGTGATTGGAGCTGAGAAAGATCGTCATTAAGAAAAGTAAGCATAGGTGGAAGATTTTCTGCGCCATCCTCTCAAATATCGGCGGGCATCCAATGAATGTAAGAGGCAAGTGTCAAGTGTAATTTATCGCTGCTGATAAACAAATCCAAAACTCCCGTCATAGCTCTTCGGGCTTGACAATTTTGGTCGTACTTAATTACGTAAAGGACACGAAGGATCAGCTAAGCTTGGATATAAAATGTCTTGGGTTTTGTTGGGCTACAGTTATCAATGTCAGGAAATGTAGTTACTCATGTATTTTAATTTTTGAATTTCTGAAATGAGAAAATCACGATCGCTGCTCACAAATGTGTTGACATTTACCCCGTTTTTAATATAAAAGTTAGTTGATTAATTAAAATAAAGTTAAAAACTAATTTAGTTAGTTATTTGTAATAAAATATATGTTATCTTTTCTAAAATATCTTTATTAATTAAATATATTAGCTATAACTACCATTATTACAAGAACTACCTTAAAAATAAATAAATATGAAAACAAAATATTAGGAATCTTATATTTAAGATCAAATAAAAATCAAACAAATTTTTATACTAGGATTAGAGATAGTAGATCATATATATATATATATATCTTTTTTCTGGTGAGGTTTTTATATATATCGTTTTTTGAACATATATACATATCTTTTGCCATAACATGCATGCGTGTGCGCGTGTGTGTGTATCAAGTCATTGTATTTTGTACATATAATACTATGCGCATGTGCGTGTGTGTGTATATATCAAGTCATTGAATGTTGTACATATAACTATTGACCAGGCATACAACTCTGCCCAAGCAAAAAAAAAAAAACAAACAAATCGATATTACTTCACCCAAAAAAAAAATCACTAAGGGGTGTTTGACAATCTTCAAACCATGGTTTCAAAAACACTTTTTCGTAAAATGAGATAAATTCCTCTACTTATTTACTTCGTAAACCGTAAAAACACTTCTGAAACTATAGTTTGGTTTTTATCCAAACAATGCTTAGATCTCAACACAGCACCCTGACTGAACAAAACCAGAAAAATCATCAGGTACAATAATATTCCTCAATTTACAATTCTCCCCTTCTTGCAAGTAGAACCCGTGCTGGTCCCCTTGGTACTCCGATCCAATCACCATCGTCGTTGAACCCAGCATCACCCCGCATACCCCAACTCGGGGCTCCGACTCTAGCTCGCCCCAACTCACCAATGTCCCGTCCCTCCCCACCCCTACGCACGACCTCGGACACCGACCCGCTTTCCAGACCCCTTCCACCCGCCTCCACTGACCCGACCGGAATTCGTACGCGTCCGCCGACCCTTCGAACATCCCTTGCTGCTCCGTCGGATACCCGCTGATCACCCAGAACTCCTCCCCGACCACCCTCCCTTCGCACTCGTCCCGTTCTTGACTCATCGGCGGCAACTCCGACCACTCGTTCTCGACCACGTCGTAAACCGACGCCGTTTTGAGCGCATTCTTGTTCTCGTCGTGCCCTCCCGCCACGTAAACCCGATCGCCGCAGGATCCGATGGCGAAGAATGACCGCCTGGACGGCATCTCCTTCCCTCTCCTCCACTGACTCGTCCTGAAATCGTAAACGAACACGTCGGTCAGGGGCTGGTAACTCACAGGGTCCCAGCCTCCCATGAGCACCAGCTTCCCTCGGGAGCTGGCGGTTTGACAGAAGAGAGGCAGCCCGAGAGGAAATCGGGAACAGGAGGGAGACGTTCCCAGGTAAGGCTGAGCGGGTCGAAGACGGTGATGCCATAAGGAGGCGAGGAGGTCAGCTTGAGATCATGGGCTAAATACTGAGGAGGAAGAGCCTGAATCAAACAGGCGAGGTTACGAGTGCGGCCGGATTTCTTCCTGTGGCGGTAGAAGAAATGGCTGCGGAGGAGGTGACGCCAGTGAGGGGAGACACGGGAAGCGAGCGGGTAAACGGAGAAATGCAGGCGGGAGAGGCATTCGAGTGCGAGATCGTGGGGCAAGTCGGGAATCAAATCCGGGGAGTGCATTTGACCGGAAGAGAATACGTGTCTTGGCATTTGAATCTCTGCTTATTTCGGAAACACAGGGCTGGCATTTGAATCTGTGGAAACTGGAAAACGAGGATGGGGGCTATTTGCAGTTGTACGTATTTATACTCCACTGGGATGACTGGTTGTTACTTCTATTCTATCCATTTATCCGTATTTCCAAGAAAACCATCAGTCGCGCCTCATTGACGTTGCCCCTGCCCCCGGGCTTCTTTTTTTTTTTTTTTTTTGAGCTGAAGCCCCCGGGCTTCGATCTAACAAACTTAATTGCAATTCAAACTTACCATCATTAAAAGTCCCTGAATGAGTTAGAAAAATTGTAAGTACTACACATTATGATTATTCGCGATCCTTGTATAAATATGATGGCTTGGTTTTCTTATCATGAAAAATTTTATGAACGGCTTCATTTTCTTAACAACACTGTATGATAAGATTAGGGTGTGGGATGTTCTCTCAGGTTAGATTTTATTGTGTTTCAGCCTCCTGCGATGACTGGGCGCCCCTGCACTGGGGCCGGAGAGTGAAAGCGGATAGGAATAGCATGCGTGTGGTGAAGAGTGAGGAGGGGACCGAGTTGATCTGGACGGACGAGGGACTGACACGTGGGACCGAAGTGGATTGACCTCACTTAACAAAAATAATGCATCGCCCTCGTTTGTCTCCGATATTTTCATCTTTGAAGTCCCCATCAAAACACCATGCATGTGCATATATGTTTTTTATTGAAAATTTTAATTTCTTACAAAATTATATATATTGTTAAGGAAGGATAGAATGATCACCATGTTTTAATTAGAGAATTGAGCAACATAAATACAAATAACTATTTTTTTAAAAAAAATGAACTTTTTTTGTATTTTCGACGTTTTTATTTGGATTTTTAAGAAAAAAATTCCACGGACTAATATGCTGCCTGGCAATGCTTTTTTTATTTGGGGGGGGGGAGGTTGAAGGGTGCCCCATAACACGCTGGCGAGCACTGCTATTGAATGTGATGTTAGTGTAGATGAAGAAAGCATGAGAAGAGGGTATTTGGATAGAAACCAAACCATGGGTTCAGAAATATTTTTACGGATTACAAAGTAAATATATAGAAGAAGTTATCTCATTTTACGAAAAACTGCTTCTGAAACCGTGACCTTGAGAATGCCAAACACCCCTGAAATGATAATGTATGGCTATGAGATAGAAGAGGGACAATTTAAGAATGTATGGGGACGGGTGAGCGCTGCAACAGTGGAACCCATCATTGAGGCTAGAGGTTACAGCTGACGAGGTCATGGTTATCTCATGAGATTTTGATCCTACCCCCTAGTTTACTCTTACAAATTAAACTGTGCTCTTTTTATCATATTTAACTGATTTAATCAGATTAAAAATTAAATAAATTAGTTAATTGTAAAAAAATAACATGTTTATCTTAAAATATCATAATTATTTTTTTAATATTCTTCTCACTCTTCTATTTGATTATAATTATAAGAGTATTAATAGGAGTTACTTAAAAAAATTAATAAATATGAAAACCATATCTTACATTTAATACCAAAATCAATAAATAAGTATAGCACACGTGCTATACTGTGGGGGGGGGGGGGAAATTATAGACAAGTGTTCAACATATTAGCGGATAGAAGCTCTGAGTACAAGTGAGTGTAGTGTGCAGCCGATATGAAGGAGTGAAGACCGAAGGGCGATCAGCGAAGCCAAGGACGGCCTAATGAAGAGATGGTAAACCCAAATTGAGATAAATAAATAAAAAATTATAAATAAAAACCTCTCAATATATAAAATTACAATTTAAGATTCTAAATTTAAAAAATAGTTTCAGAAGAGCCGGTTCTAAATTACAAATATATAATGTCGGTGAAATGTCCCTCAATCAAATGACAAGTTGACTATGAAAAATGACAAGTTCACTTTAACGAATGACAACTTCATTAGACCAAATCACAATTTGACTGAGGGTATGTCAAATGATAAATTGACTACAGGAAACGACAAATTCATTTTAGTAAATGACAACTTCAATAGACTAAATCATAATTTAACTTAAAGACATTTCAGACATTAAACCAAAATTTCATATTTACAATATCGAATTGAGTCTAAAATTTAAGAGTCTCAAATTGTAATTTTACATATTAGACGGTTTTTATTTATAATTTTTTCTAAATAAAATTTGACTTCATTTTTATTTTTAAAATCTAATATCAGTAGCTCTGATTCTTCAAATCTGATTCCATAAAAAAAAATACTGTTATAGACGCTAAAAATCTTAAACAAATTATACTGAGAAACTAAAATTAAAAGCTAAAAATAGTATTAAACCCGTCAAATGATGAAAAGAAACAAAGGCGGGCACAAGACGCAATGATTATGGAGTTTCCCATCTTGTCGCGGCTTGCCTTTTGTTTTCGCATCGGTTTTTTTTTTTTTGGCTTTTTGTTTAAATATATATATATTCTCACTTTTTAAAACGCAAGCGGGGGCCGACCAGATTACCCTCACACTGTAACCACAACCATGTGACCGCAAATTCTGATGCCCCTTTTTCTTTCGCGTCGCGTCAGTGCGAACAAAGCCCACATGCAACAGGAAAAGTTCATTCCCAGTGAAAATAACAGTGCGTAATTTTAGACGTACGCTGCCAAAAAAATATTTCCAAAGTGCTTATTTCAACTTTCCTATGATACATACTACTATATGTAAGGTGTAAGGTTGGGGCTTGAATCCGAAGTTCCTTTTTGAACCGTTGAATGGTTTGGAGAACAGTGCAGGGA